GGGAGATTCCCTGTGAGTGAGTACCCACGAACGGAGTGGTGCCCTAGAACCCCACAGCCCCTTCTGTTGGAGAGAGAGATGTAAGCCTTCATCTGGTGATTCATTGATTTGACCTTGATTTATCCCTGAATTGGGTGGAAAGGCCAGGAGATTAGGAAAGCACAGCGGAATTCTGGAATTTCAAAGGCTTCTCCAGGCTTCTCTGGGTCACCATACCTTTGCTAAAAAACAGGGCTGGGGAAGAGGGAGGCAGGAACTGGAAACTGCTTTTTTTTTTTTTTTTAATTTTAAGCCACTTTACTGCTGTATGATTGGCATAATAAATTAGTTGCATGTATATAATTATAGAACCTTCTAATGGCTCAGCGGGTAAAGAATCCGCCTGCAATGCAGGAGACACAAGACGTGGGATTCGATCCCTGGGTCAGGAAGATGCCCTGGAGAAGGAAATGGCAACCCACTCCAGCATTCTTGCCTGGGAAATCCCATGAACAGAAGAGCCTGGTGGGCTATAGTCCATGGGGTTGCAAAGAATCGTACATGACTGAGCGACTAAGCACGTATACAACCGGGTGAGTTTAGAGAGAAGTGAAGCCATCACCACAATCTGTGTTGTAAACATGTCCATCACCTCTGAAAGTTTCCTTCCTTCCTTTCTTTTATGGTTGTTGTTGTTCAGTCGCCAAATTGTGTCTGTCTCTTTGTGACACCACGGACTGCAGCACGCCAGGCTTCCCTGTCCTTCACCATCTCCCGTAGTTTGCTCAAACTCCTGTCCATCGAGTCGGTGATGCCATCCAACCATCTCATCCTCTGTCGTCCCCTTCTCCTCCTGCCTTCAATCTTTCGCAGCATCAGGGTCTTTTACAATTATATTTCCAATATTATATAATATTATTATTAGTCATGATGAATAAAAGATCTGTATAGTGCCTAGAGTTAGCAGTACTACATGGTAGGGAATTCCCTGGCGGTCCAGTGGTTAGGACTCTGCGCTCTCACTGCCGAGGGCCCAGGTTTAATCCCTGGTTAGGGAACTAAGGTCTTACAAGCACAGCAAAAAATAGAAAACCCACTGCACTGTATATTTAAATGTTTGCTAAGAGGTTAGATCTTACGTGTCTTATCACAAACATGTAAAAAGAAGGAAACTGGGTTGATGTATTTTCTTCTGACCACTGTTCTGTGGATGAGGGGATGGAGAGAAGGCACGACAGACTGCCTCCTCGGTGGGGGCCTGTCTTTGATACTTCGTATTAAAATTTGAGGGTTTCCATCCGACCCCCAAACCCGCCAAGAACCTCCAGGCTGAAGTCTGAATTCCACTTTCTTGGCTTCCTCAGTGGTTCAAGTGGTAATGAATCTGCCTGCAATGCAGGAGACACAGGAGATGCATTCCCTTGATCTCTGGGTCGGGAAGATCCCCTAGAGGAGGAAATGGCAACCCACTCCAGTACTCTTGCCTGGGAAATCCCACGGACAAAGGAGCCTGGTGGGCCCCAGTCCACAGAGTTGCAAAGAGTCGGACGTGACGGGGCAAGCATTCACCTCATTCACCAAGCCCATGGTTAAGGGATGGGTGGTGGGGCTGGGGAAGAGCCACACAGCCTCGCTGAGCCTCAGTGTCCCTGCCTGTGACCCAGAGAGGTCCCCCCTTCTGGGAGATGGTCTGGCTGAGGTGCTCTGGCAAGTGTGGCAAAGGGGTCTCCTGCGGTCCAGTCGTGGCCTGAAGATGAGCCATCTGCCTCCTGGGTGTGTTGATTTTGAAAAATACGGTATGGCTCTTGAAACAATCGGGAGATGCCATAGAAACATCTGGATTTCTAGCAGCTCACAAAATTTGGGAAGAGCTGGAAAAACCTCAGCCCCAGGGACCTCGGGGCCCAGAAGGGAGTTGCAGCTGCTGCCTTTGTTTAAGGTGAGGGCCATGACCCTCTTGGTTGGAGGGGTCATGGTGTTGGTTAGGGAGGTGACAATGATGGGAAGAGCCTAGAACAGCACCTGACACAAGGCAATCCCTGGGAAATGCTTGGTTTTTTTTTTTTAATTTTGTATTGGTATAAAGGTTGATTTAGAATGTTATGTTAGTTTCAGGTATATAGCACAGCAATTTGTATATAGTAGTTGTCTGTTAATCCCAATCTCCTAATATATACCTACCCCCACCCTTCTTCCCTGGCACTTATAAGCTTGTTTTCTGTGTCTGTGAGTCTGTTTCTGTCTTACAAATAAGTTCATTTGTATCATATTTTAAGATTCCTCATGTGATATCATAGGATATTTGTCTTTCTTTGTCTGACTGCCTTCACTTAGTGTGACCATCTGTAGTTTGATCCATGTTGCCACAAATGGCATTATTTCATCTTTTCTATGGTGAGAATATTCCATGGTATATATGCCATAACTTCTTTACCCATTCATCTGTGAGTAGACACTTCGGTTACTTCCATGTCTTGGCTATAGTGAATAGTGCTGCAGTGAATATTGAGGGTGCATGTATCTTTTTGAATGAGTTTTGTCCAGATATATGCCCGGGAGTGGGATTGCAGGATCATATGGTAATTTTATTTTTAGTTTTTTGAGGAATTTCAATACTGTTCTCCATAGTGACTGCACCAGTTTACATTTCCACCAACGGTGTAGGAGGGTTCCCTTTTCTACATACCCTCTTTAGCAAGGAAATACTCATTTGTGTTGCTTCGTGCAAAGCACATTTTCTAGTCACCTTTATTTGCATGTACTGGATGCTCAGGTTGTAAAAATGATCCTGGATTTCCCTGGTGGTTCAGTGGTTAAGAATCTGCCTGCCAGTGCAGGGGATGTGGCTTTGATCCCTGGTCTGGGAAGACTCCACATGCTGTGGGGCAACTGAGCCTGTGGATCGCAACTACCGAGCCTGTGGATCGCAACTACTGAGCCTGCATGCTGCAACTACTGAAATCTGAGCACTGCAACTAGAAAGTAGCCCCTGCTCACTGCAACTAGAGAAAGTCAGAACGCAGCAGTGAAGACTCAACGCAGCCAAAGAGAAATAACTAAATTTAAAAAACCTTAAAAAAAAAGTGATCCCTGTGACTCTCGTAGCTGGTAGGAAGATGTGTTCATCAATATAGGATTGTTATACCCGAAGGCAAGTCTCTGATCTGATATTTTCAAGAGAACTTTGAAATCCAGATTTTATGTTAAATCGTTTTCTTTTGTTCTTGACAGTGAGTTCAACTTTTCTTCATTGAAGTGCCATGTAGATCAAATGAAGCACAACTGAGGCTACAGAGTCACTGGCTTCATTGCACAGATGGAAAAACTGAGGTTCAGGGCTGGCCAACTTGCCCTCAGGTCTGACTCTCTCCAAACCCACTTCTTCCCAAAATCTACCAGTTAGGGACATGGGGCTGGGCCTGACCGGCCAGCTCCAGTCTTCTGCCTTCTCCAGAGTCCCTGCCCACTGGTTCTGGGACAGTCTGTCTGGGGACAGTGGGAGTGGCTGTCCTTGTCCTGGAAGGCCACATTCAAAGAAAAAGTGAAGGTGACACAAGCTGTTCCAGACACTTGGCTTTGCAACATGGAGCAACTACCTGATGGGCTGGTCAGGTTGGGAGCGGGGTTGGGTGGCAAGGGGTTTTTGCCAAGCTTTATAAACCTGGAGATTTATAATTCATGTGGCGCTAGTGATAAAGAACCTGCCTGCCAGTGCAGCGGACACAGGAGACACGGGTTCGACCCCTGGGTTGGGCAAGATCCCCTGGAGGAGGACAACCCACTCCAGTATTCTTGGCTGGAGAATCCCATGGACAGAGGAGCCTGCAGGGTCACAAAGAGTCAGACATGACTGAAGCAACTTAGCACAAGAGCACAGCATGTAAATTTCTGTATTTCTGGCTTTTCATCGAAAATTGCTCTTGTTCTCATCTCCTGCCCTCCCACTCATAGGCTCTGCTCCCCACCACACTGGCTTCCTTGCTGTTCCCCATTGCTCTGTCTCAGTTCTCCCAGCCCCAGGGCCTTTGCACGGGCTATGTCTTATGCATGAAATTACCCACCACCACTAAATCCACGTGTTCCCTCCAGTGCCTTTAGTTTTTAATTTTGGTTTATTTTTTTGTGCTTTGTTTTTCCTTACATTTCACCTGCCTGACTGCTCTGTTTAAAATTGCAGTCCTCCTCCCAGTCCCTCCTGTGTTTCCACTGTGTCCTTTCATACACCACGTATTTTACCCTAATTGTTGATGACCAGTCTTTCTTTTACTGTAATAAAAGCCCCATGAAGTTAGAGATCTGGGTCTGTCTTGTTCGCTTTTCTAACCCCAGCTGTTGGAAGAGGGCCTGGCATGTACTAGGTGTTCAGTAAATGTGTATTGACATGGAGAACAAACTTAGGGTTACCAAAGGGGAAGGGGAGAGGGATAAATTAGGAATTAACAGATACACACTACTATATATAAAATAGATAAACAAGGACCTACTATATAGCACAAGGAACTATATTCAATGTCTTAAAATAACCTATAGTGGAAAAGAATCTGAAAAAGAATATATATATATAATTGAATATTTTGCTGTACACCTGAAACACTAAATCAACTATACTTCAGTTTTTAAAAATGTGTGTTAAATGAATGAGTGAATGAATGAATGATGAATTTGACACATGGAGCCCACTTCCCACCAGGTGTCATGAGCTGTGGTTGAGCAGTGGCCACCTCCCAGTCTCTTGATCAGGCTGTTGTTATTAAAACACATTTTAAAATAATGCATAAAAATAATATCAACTATTAACATTAGTTATGTCATATGTCAACTCTGGAGCAGCATGTGTCAACAGCTTTCCCTCCTCCTCCTGCTCCTAGAGCACCTCCAGGGAGCCCCTTCCTCAGTGACCCTGTGGAGTCCGTGATGCAGGCTGGCACCAAGCAGCCATGTTGGAGACTTGGGGTAGGGCAGGTGGGTGGGTGGGGCCCTGGCCCTCTCCCTCATGGGCTTGTCTGTCTCGTCTCCGACAGAATGTGCGCATCGACCCCAGCAGCCTGTCTTTCAACATGTGGAAGGAAATCCCTGTCCCCTTCTACCTCTCTGTCTACTTCTTCAACATCCTCAATCCCGAGGAGATCATCCAAGGCCAGAAGCCACAGGTGCAGGAGCGCGGGCCTTATGTGTACAGGTGAGGATGGAGGGGGTTGGGCTGGGACTCAGGTCACCACCCCATTTTACAGATGACGAAACTGAGGCCCCTTGCGGAAGGGCTCGTTCAGGGTCAGTCTGCTTGCTCTAATCCAGTGCTCCAGTGCTTGAGACTTGGGAGTGACTGCCTGGCTTTGCCACTCAGCAGGTCTCTGACTGTGGGCAAGGGCCTTTACTTTCCTGTGCTGCCGTGTCCCCTTCTGTAAAATGGGGATGACTGTATCCATGGTGGAGTGGTTATGAGGGTTGGATGAGATAATGGGGAGCCCAGCACAGTGCCTGGCATGCAGTAAGTGATCAGTAAATGTTAGTTACTAACACATTATCATTACCTGAGTTTGGCTGCTTGCCACTCAAAAGGCAAGTGTTGGTATTTCCCTGGCAGTCCAACAGCTAAGAATGAACACTTCCACTGTAAGGGGCGCAGGTTCAATCCCTGGTCAAGGAACTAAGATCCCACATGCTTCGAGGTGTGGCCAAAAAGTTTAAAAAAAAAAAAAAAAGGCAAGTGCTGGTTGGAAAGGAAAGATTGCTTTATTCAGGAGGCCAGCAATGTGGGGAGAAGGTGAATTCATGTCCAAAAACCAACTCTAAAGATTCTGCTCAACCATGAAAGTTTTTAAAGGGAGACTCATTTGGAGAAAAGGTCAGGGCCTTATCTTCTTCCACTGTGTGCAAAACTTTCTTCTGATTGGCTGGTGGTGCAGTTAACAGGGAGGTGTTCCAGGACTCTTCTGCTCGGCCAGAGAGGACCATCCTCCACCTTGATGGGGGCCTTAGTTCCTGCAGAAGAACTCAGAGATATTGTTCTGTGTATCCCTTGAGGAGAAGCCAGGACCCTGCCCTAAGACTGCACTATTGTTTCCTAACTGCCCCTCCTTTGCACTAGGCTGGAAGAAGCACAAGCTGGAATCAAGATTGCAGGGAGAAATATCAATAACCTCAGACATGCAGATGACACCACCCTTATGGCAGAAAGTGAAGAGGAACTAAAAAGCCTCTTGATGAAAGTGAAAGAGGAGAGTGAAAAAGTTGGCTTAAAGCTCAACATTCAGAAAACTAAGATCATGGCATCTGGTCCCATCACTTCATGGGAAATAGATGGGGAAACAGTGGAAACAGTGTCAGACTTTATTTTTGGGGGCTCCAAAATCACTGCAGATGGTGATTGCAGCCATGAAATTAAAAGACGCTTACTCCTTGGAAGGAAAGTTATGACCAACCTAGATAGCATATTAAAAAGCAGAGACATTACTTTGCCAGCAAAGGTCCGTCTAGTCAAGGCTATGGTTTTTCCAGTGGTCGTGTATGGATGTGAGAGTTGGACTGTGAAGAAAGCTGAGTGCCGAAAAGTTGATGCTTTTGAACTGTGGTGTTGGAGAAGACTCTTGAGAGTCCCTTGGACTGCAAGGAGATCCAACCAGTCCATCCTAAAGGAGATCAGTCCTGGGTGTTCATGGAAGGACTGATGCTGAAGCTGAAACTCCAGTACTTTGGCCACTTCATGAGAAGAGTTGACTCATTGGAAAAGACCCTGATGCTGGGAGGGATTGGGGGCAGGAGGAGAAGGGGACGACAGAGGATGAGATGGTGGATGGCATCACCGACTCAATGGGCATGAGTTTGAGTAAACTCCAGGAGTTGGTGATGGACAGGGAGGCCTGGCGTGCTGTGATTCATGGGGTCACAAAGAGTCAGACACGACTGAGTGACTGAACTGAACTGAACTGAACTTGCTTCTGCATCCCCTCCCTCCCCTGATAAACAACTGTTTGCATCTGCCCCCTGTAACTCAGGGAAGGAAGGTCAAAGAGGCTGAATGAAGCTTATTCCCTACAAAAAAAATTGGGGACACGGAAAAGGAGTTTTACCTGGGAGGGTCCCACAGGGTCCTGCTGTCTTTCTTTATGACCACAGCTGTCACAGCTTCTTCCTTTGATCATTCTTTGGGAGGGTGAAGCTCTCCAGTGGCTACTGGGCTCGTGGGGTTGGCTGGAGCAGTTTTCCAAGAGACGCTCTGCCACAAGGCTCCAGAAGAGCTGCCAGGTGCCAACCTGCACCACAGACTCCACAGGGACATTGGGGAAGGGGCTTCCTGGAATACAAGACCCAATTTCTGGTGCTGCCCATTCTGCCCTCAGGAAACTGCAGTCCTGGCTTAGCTCATCCACGAAAGGCTTCTGCGTCAAAGTTGAGCCTGGCTTGCCAAAGTTCTTACTTATCTCTTCATTCCATAAGTGTTTATTGAGTATTGAACATCTCCTGTATGCCAGGCACTGTGCCAGTTCACTGTTAAAGGCAGACAAAAGCCCCTGCCTCACAGAGCTGACATTCCCATCAGGAGAGAATAAGCAAGTGGACAAGAGAGGGGAAACCAGGCAACATAAACGTGGTGAAAACAAAGCAGGTCAAGCCATGGAGAGTGCTGGAGGCAGGCCTTGGCGAGGGTAGGTCTAACAAAGGGGGACACTTCCCTAGACCCAGATGGTGAGAAGGGGGCACTGCTACCTGAGGATCTGGGGGGAAGCGAGTCCCAGACAGAGGGAGCAGCAAGTGCAAAGGGCCTGAGGTGGGAATAGTCTGGTAGTCCAGGAGGGGAGAAGGCATGTGTGGCTGGCGTGTTAGGAGTGAGGGGAGAGTGAGTGGGAGAGAGGAGACCTGAGAATTGGATGGGGCCGGATGGTGAGGACCCTGGAGGCCACAGAAGGAGCTCAGTTTTATCCTGTGTGTGAAGGAGGGTTTGGAGGAGAGGATGATGTGATCTGATTTCCCCTTTTCAAAGATTCTTCTGGATGCTCTGCAGAGAATGGATTGCGGAGCATGATGGAATAAAGACAGCATAACAGCAATAAAAAGTGCAGCTGATACATGCTTTTCTCTATGCATTAGGCAATCGTTTTAATTGCTTGACGTGCATTAGCTCACTCAATTCTCACCAGTAGGGACCTAATGACGTAGGCCTGCTTATTACTCCCATTTTATTTTTTTTTCCTTGGCTGCACCTTGCAGTATGCAGGATCTCAGTTCCCCATCCAGGGACTGAACTGATGCCCCCTGCAGTGGAGGCATATAGTCTTAATCACTGGACTGCCAGGGAAGTCCCATTACTCCCATTTTAAATGTGGGAAAACAGGCTTGAGTAGTAAGTGATGGAGACAGGATTCGGGCCCCCTGCCTCCTGTCTTCAGAGTGCATATTCCTTGAGAGCTTGTTTGGAGGTTCTAGCAGGGGAGCGCAGCTACTCATATACCCTTGACCGAAGACCGGTCCTCCTCTATCGGGGATGGTCGTCCTCTTCGACCGAGCGCGCAGCTTCGGGAGGGACGCACATGGAGCGGTGAGGGAGGAAGGGGACACCCACCTAGCCAGCCAGATCAGCCGAATCAACCCTGGCGATCAATGGGGTGACAGATGTCGCAACCAGATCGCCCTCACATCCCAGAGTGCATATTCCTATCCACCATCCTTGCCGTCATATTCCTATCCACCATCCTTGCCGTCTCCCTCAAAAAAGCTAGGATGCCCGGGGGGAGGGTGATGAGGGGCGGAGGGATGGTGGCAGCTTGCCCAGGGGGAAGGAGCATATGGGATTTGGTGACAAGAGGCTCCTGGGCCTGTCCTGCAGTGGGTGGGCTTCCCAGGCAGTTCAGTGGTAAAGAATCCGAGTGGCAATGCAGGAGATGCAGGAGACCCAGCTTCGATCCCTGGGTCAGGAAGATCCCCTGGAGAAGGAAATGGCAACCCACTCCAGTATTTTTGCCTGGAAGATCCCATGGACAGAGGAGCCTGGCAGGCCCCAGTCCATGGGTCCCGAAGAGTCGGACACAACTGAGTGACTAACACTTTCACTTTAAGAGGATCCTGGCGGATTGCATACAGTCCTTGGGGTCACAAAGAGGCGACTGAGCACATACCACAGTGGGTGGGTGGTGGAACAGACATGTAGGAGGCAATCAAGCTCAGCACACAGACAGCTGAGGGCACCCCGGGCTCCTGGCAGCTGACCCACCGGCTTCCTCCCCCACAGGGAATTCAGGCACAAGACCAACATCACCTTCAACAACAATGACACGGTGTCCTTCCTGGAGCACCGCAGCTACCAGTTCCAGCCGGATAAGTCCCGCGGCCAGGAGAGCGACTACATCGTCATGCCCAACATCCTGGTCTTGGTGAGATACCCCTGGTCCGTCTCTCCGCCTGCCCCCTGCACTGGGCGGTCCCTTGAGGGCTCAACCTCTGGCTCCCGGGTTGACTCGGCGGGCTTCCTGGGTGCATCTTGGTCTCTGGTTGGGGGCATTGGTCAAAATCATGGCCTTTCCCTTTTCAATCTGCAAATCTAGGGACTTCCCTGGTGGTCCAGTGGTTAAGACTTCGTCGTCCACTGCAGGGGTACGCGGGTTCAACCCCTAATCGGGTGCAACAACAATGACAAAAACATGCAAACCTAGACTGTCCAAAAGGGAGTACTTGTGGGAAGCTGAATGGGGGCGCTGTGTGCTTGTCTGTGGTGTTTGGAGGGAGGTTGTGGACAGGACGTCCATCCTCTGCAGGTAAGAGTCATAGAAGTAGCTGGATTTACTGCCTGCCTGCCGTGTGTGTCGGGGTCCCCAGGACCACCCCCAGGTCCGCTGACTCACTCATAGGGCTCGCAGGACCTGGCATATATGGTTGTTCTCTTGGCTTTGGTAGAGTGGAAGGAGGCAGAAGAGAATCAGCAGAGGGAAAGGGCATGTGGGGTGGTGACCAGACGCAGGCTTCCAGAGCCACCTCCCAGGGGAGTCACGCTTCATTCCTTGAGCGGTGATTTATGACCACACACAGGTAGGTCTCCTCTACCAGGAATGCCCACTACAGAGACTCAGCGCCCAGGGGGTGTTTACTGGGGGCTCATCATGGAGATGCCCTCTGCCTGGCACGGATCCATGTTCCGGGAAAGCAGGTGGCACAGTCCAGACACAGTGAGCCCCTCTCACCGGTTAGGGAGTGGTGGGAGCCCTCCTAACATCAGGATCTCAGACGCCAGCCAAGGGCCAGGCCTTTCTGGAGAGAACTGTCTCAGGAGTGCTAGGTGAGCATCTTGCTGACACTACGTGTTAGAACCTGTGTGTCAGGCTTCACACATACTACCTCGTTTACTTGTCAGCAATCCCACGATCATTAGGTACTATTATTTTCTCCATTTGTAGAAGAGGAAAACTGAAGAACAGAGAGGCTAGGTTACTTATCTAAAGTCACTCAACTAGCGGGTAGCAGATTAGGGTTTTGAAACTAGTTTGGTCTCTGAGGCTGCCACTCTGTGGCACTCAGCCTCCCATTCAATCCTCTGTCCACCCAGTTGAGGGTCAGCAGATGTGTGCTCCCGGACTGGCCCCAGGCTGGGCTCAGGATCGGATGTGAATGCACCTGTGAAGTCTGTTGGGTGGACAGGATGAAAGCTCAGATAAATGCAGCCTGAAGCCTTGCTGCTGCCTCTCTCAGAGTCAGATGTGCGTGTTTAGGCAGTGAAGTCACTTTCCCCCACCAATTAGGTTGGCAAAGACTGTGTGATAAATGCCCAGGGCTTAGGAGCGTTTGTGGAAACAGACGCTGTCATTAGGAACGGAATTGGTATGAGCTGTTGGAAGGTAATTTTCAATTTAAATTGAGGTGATTCTCGATGTAAATTGAAACATAGGTAGGAATGTGTCCTCTTGACAGGATAACACATGTGGGCAAAGATGTTTGTTCTCAAGGATGTTTATTTCAGCAGCGTTTTCAGAGCAAACATCTACGGATCATCATGTGGAGTTATGTTGTGGTATCTACTGCAGACGAGCAGTGGACTAGTATACATCCAGCAAAAGGAGGCAGGACTGCAGAGGGTGTCATGGAAAGCAGTCTCTTAGTTATGTCTAACTAGGGAAAATTGAGCACAAGCATAGTGCCCCTACTTATTGTTTCCGAAGGAGAAGTACTTGCAGGCATGCACACACCCACTTAACACACGTGCTTTCACATGCCTCGACCAGCTGGGCTTTTTCTATAAAGGGCCAGATAGTAGATGTTTTAGGCTTGGAGGGTTAGATGTTCTCTGTTGGAGCTGTTCAAGTCTGCCATTATAATGCAAAAGCAGGGTCTTCCCTGGTGGTCCAATGGCTAAGGCTCCGAGCTCCCAATACAGGGGGCCTGGGTTCGACCCCTGGTCAGGGAACTAGATCCCATATGCCATAACTGAAGATCCTGCATGCCTCACCTAAGACTTGACACAGCCAAATAAATAAATAAATATTTTAAAAATGCAAAAGATGCCCAAGACAAAAACATAAATGAGTGGGCGTGGCTACATGCCAAGAGACCTATTTCGTGGATATACTGAAATGTGAGTTTCATATAATTTTCATGTTTTTCATACGGTCTTCTTTTGTTTTTCTTTCAACCATTTGAAAACCTAGGAACATCTTAGCTCCTGGACTGTAAAAAGCAGGCCCTGGGCTGGCTTTGGCTGATGGACCATAGCTTGCTGACTCCTGGTGTTGATGCTTCCTGCAGGAATACTCAAGAACCCAGAGCAATGGTTTTTCTTGGGGGAGGAGATTAGGAAGAGGAGGGTCACAGGTTAGAGAGGGACTTTTACTTTATATACTTCTATGATTTTTAAAAACCATCTAAGAGACTTCCCTGGTGGTCCAGTGGTTAAGAATCTACCTTGCAATGCAGGGAATACAGATTTGATCTCTAGTTGGGGAACTAAGATCCCACATGCCGTGGGGTAACTAAGCCCACATGCCACAAAGAAGATTCTGCATGCCACAACTAAGACCTGACATAGCCGGAAAGGAAAGAAAAAGAAGAAATACTGACTTAGAGAAACACGATGCTAGTATTTATACAAAATAAAGAAAACCCATCTATTTATTACCCTAAAAATCATAATGTTAAGGAGACCCTTGTGAATTCTTATGGAATCAGACTTTTATGTTTAAGAACATCCTGGTTCCCTTCCCTTTTCTACAGGTAGAGATTAGATACTGGCTGTGCTTGTGCTATTGTTCAGTCGTGTCTGACTATTTGTGACCCCATGGGCTGTAGCCCACCAGGCTCCTCTGTCCTTGGGGATTCTCCAGGCAAGAATACTGGAGTGGGTTGCCATGCCCTCCTGCAGGGGATATTCCTGACGCAGGGATCAAACCCAGGTCTCCCGCATTGCAGGTGGTTTCTTCACCAGCTGAGCTACCAGGGAAGCCCAGATATAGGATGAGGTGCCTTTAAAAAGTAAACCAACTGCCAAGATGGTATCTCCAGAGGAAAACAAAAATTCGAAAATAAATTCACCCATATTCTAAGCACCCAGATACTAGGTAGAACTGGTGCTTGGGGCTCTTGGAGTTTGGAAGGGAGATGCTAAGGGAGTAGAGTCCAGTCTACATTAAGATTCTTTGCTTATAAGGTTACAGTGAAAGTTACTCCAAATAGGCATAAGTAAAAAGGGCATTTATGGGCTCATGATACTGAAAGGGCAGGAGTTGGCCTGGTTTCAGGTGTGGCTTGATCCAGAGCGCAAACAAGGTTGCCCAGATCTGTGTCAGTTCCATGTTCTGTCAGATCCACCCCTCAGGGTGGCTGCAGCCTTGCACACACCACGTTCGAGGGCAGCCAGAGCTGCCTTCCCTCTCTACCCCGCAACCCCAGCTGATTTGCTCCTTGTGGCTTGTTGGTTCTGATGGGGCTGCATACATATTCCCAAACCAGTCACTGTAGCCGGAGAGAGGAAGGTATCTGATTGACCAGGACTAAGGCACATGACTGCCTCTGGGGCTGGGGGTGGCGTTAACTTGGCCTGAACCCGACGGCACAGGTGGCCCTGTTACTGAAGGGTCAGGGGATGGCTCTGGATGCCCCAGATGTCCACTGCAGGGATCCTTCTAGGCCTGACCATATCCCTGGATGGCTGTGCCCTGAAGCTGGGGTCCAGGGAGGGCAGACAAGCTGTGTCTCGCCTCTAACCTGTGGTGTCCCCTGGTTCTGCAGAGTGCGTCAATGATGATGGAGAACAGGCCCGGGATCTTGAAGCTGATGATGACCTTGGCGTTCAGCACCCTTGGCCAGCGTGCCTTCATGAATCGCACTGTTGGCGAGATCATGTGGGGCTATGATGACCCCTTAATCCACCTCATCAATCAGTACTTCCCAAACTCACTCCCCTTCAAGGGCAAGTTTGGCTTATTTGCTGAGGTAAGTGTGGCCCGGTGAGAAGTTCAGGGCCTCTGTCGTGGCCTCCACTGACAGCCTGGAAAGCAGTTACCAGCTTGTTTTTGGAGCTGGCAGAGGCCCCAGGAACTGTGGGTTGTAAATGACAGGAAATCTAACTTAAACTGGCTTAAGCCAAAGCCATTTTCAGTTAAATTCTATTTATTGATTTATTGGTTCATATAGCTGAAAACTGTAGGGAGAGAGATTCAGGTACAGCTTGATCCAGGCTCAAATGATGTGACTGGGGCTGAGCTTAGATGGTTGGAGGTTGGTGCTGGAAGAAAGGGGAATGGCTGCTGGGGAGGCAGGTCAAAAATATCAACTATTGCTTTGCTCTGAGTTGCCTGCTTTTTCTTAATCTTGACCCCTCATAACCTAGTGGTGTCAGTGATTGGGATCCTGAGTCATGATCTGATGTAGAGTCAGATCCCTGACCTCTGATCCCTGACCTTGGCTCCCTCAATCACAGATTGTAAACGGCCCTCTGAGTTGCTCCAGCCTGTGCTTCCTTTCGGGGCTTTGCTGATCTGGTGTTGGGGGTAGTAGGAGGGAGAAATCATGATTCAGTTATGGGCGCGTGATAGCTGCTCAGTACATTTTTGAGCAGGATGACAGGTTCTGGGTGTGTGGGTGAGTTGACAAGTTTAAGGTAAATGACATGATTCTTGTTGAAGCATATAGTAAACTTGTAAACAAATGAAAGTTATTACAAATTGAGTCACATGCTTATAAACTATTTTTGACTAGGTAATAGTGGAAATCCCAAAGCAATAGTCCAGCAGTGTTGGTGTGGTGGCTTCCCACTCTTCAGGGATCTAGAATCCTACTACTCTGCTCTCCCCACCTTAGAGTGTGGTTTCCATACTCAAGATTACTGCATGATCCAAGAGGCTGCTGGGGCATCAGCTATCACACTCACTTTCCAGGTAGCAGCAGGAAGGAAGAAGCGGTAGGGTATTTAGGGGCAGTCAGGGGAGTTGAGGACAAAGCAGCATGTCCTAGCTGTCTCCCTCTTTGGGAGGGAGAAAACCAATTTCTGCTTGGTTTCCATTAGCCAGAACTAGACCTGTGGCCACACTTAGCTGCAAGGGAAGCTGGAAAATGTTAACTTATAGTATGTTGATGCCCTAAGTAAGGTTTGAGTTTTGATATGAAGGAGAAAGGGGAGAATGGACTCTGGGTAGTAGCTAGAAGTCTCTGATAGACTTCGTTTTAATATTATGTCAGTATTCTTTTGGGTGAGCATTTATTAATCATATTAATAGCAATAATAAAAATAAAGGCTAGCATTTGGAGACGTTAATATTTCTTAGGCACTGTCCTCAGCAGTTTTTACACATTAGGTCTTTTAACACTCCCAGTCTCTCCCAGTCTCTTTGTAGTGGTGTCTGTTACTGTCTCTTTATACTGGCTGAAGTTTGGGCTCTAGAAGCTCTGAATGGACAAGTGACAGGGCACACAGATATTAGGAAGCTAGAGCAGGCTTTGAACTTAGGCCCTGTTGGCTTACCCAGTCAGTAATCAATGTAGCTATTTGGCCAGTAAACAACCCCTACTGAGTTCCTCACGGGTGCTGTACCTTACATTATACAGTGTCTTCAGAGGTAAAAGGGTGCTTTCTAAATTTTACCCAGCGATCACTCATTTTTTGTGTGTGCTTTGCACAGTTTTGATAAACATGGAGTCCTCCTTGCCTGTATGTTTCAGGGTAGGCCAGGTTAAGCAGCCCCCAGATCTCCGTGGCTTAGAATAGCAAAAGGTTTATTTCTTCCTTGTATGCCAGGTCTAGTGTGGGTGACCGGGGCTCCTCTGCTCTTTGTGGTCGCTCAGGGACCGAGGCTGGGGGAGGCTTCCGCTGGACACATGCTTCTCCGGTCTTGATTGCAGTGATAGAAAGCACAGTGAAACTTGCATGCACCACCTCTTAAAGCTCCCACCCGGAAGTGACATTATCACTTCTCTCCTTTCTCATTGATTGTTTTCACTGATCGAAGAGGTCACGTGGCCATGCTTCCTTTTAATTTGGGGAATGGGATGGGGTGACCCCACTGTTCACCTGAGAGGAGAACCAGACTCTCCTGGAGTCAGGAAGGGAAAATGGGACGTTTTCTAGGACGGATGTGGTCTTCAGAGGAGTGTCCCTCCTAGAAAGCCCCCAAGTCCTCCTCCTCTTGACTCCCCCAGTGCTGGGCTTGCAGCAGTGAACAAGACAGTGAGGCCCCTGTTCTCTGGGTGAAGGGGGAGCAGCCTGTGGGTGGGCCTGAGTATAGACTCCCATGTCCTTTACCTCCATCCTGGGGCTTAAAGATGTCATTCTCTGCCGTTGTCTGCAGCTCAACAACTCGGATTCTGGCCTCTTCACCGTGTTCACAGGGGTCAGAGACTTCAGCAGGATCCACCTCGTGGACAAGTGGAATGGAGTCAGCAAGGTGAAGGCAAGAGGCGACAGCCGCCCTGTGCAGGGAGCAGTGGGGGTGGCAGGGGCTGGGATCCACCGCCCAGAGCGCCTCCTTCTCTTAAAACAGGAGGTTGGGATCGGCATGTACACACTGCTATATTTAAAACAGGTAACCAACGAGGATCTCTTGTGTAGCGCAGGGAGTGCTGCTCAATATTCCATAATAACCTAAATGGGAAGAGAATTTGAAAAAGAATAGATACACGTGTATGTAAAATGGAATCACTTTGCCATACACCTGAAACTAACACAACATTATAAATCAACTATGCTTCAATTAAAGAAACAAAGCAAAACAGAGGAAGGGATTGCATCTGTCGGGGAAATGCTCTTGAGTCCCGGAGCTTACTTATGTTTAAGGCTCAGCTAGGACTTCCTAGGTGGCTTAGCGGTAAACAATGTGCCTGCCAAGCAGGAAATCCCTAGGGGAGGAAATGGCAACCCGCTCCAGTACTCTTTCTTGTCCGAAAAATCCCATGGACAAAGGAGCCTAGTGTGCTGCGGTCCATGAGGGTGCAGAGTCAGACGTGACTGAGCAAGCAGGCAAAGCCTCAACTAGGACTTTCCTGTGTCCCGGTGGTTAAGACTCTGCCCTTCCACTGCAGTGGGGGTGGGTTCGATCCCTCCTGAGGGAAGTTCTGTCCATGTGCCCCAAGGCGCAGGCAAAACAAAACAAAAGGAAAACTAGTTCTTGGTTCCCAGTGGGTGGGTGGGGCATATGATTTATTTAGCACCTAATGTATGCTAGGAACCACATTGTTTCTTTCCTTTGGTGCTTCACTTACAAGAATGCTTCAAATATTACACTGAAGATATAGCCATCCGTTGCACTGAAAGATCGTTGAGTTAAAAAAAAAATTGTGCTAGATACATAGGAAGACATTCACTTTAAAAAATAAAATAATAGAGACAGATATAAAGTGCACTTTGTACGTCTTCACACTTCCAGCCCTATTCCCACCCAAACTACAGAGGAAACCCACAGTTATCAGTATTGGATATATTCTTCCTGTGTATTTTTATCCATTTGAGGTGCGATTTTTTTTTTCCTTCTAGGAGCAGAATAAAATCATACTATGAGCATTGTTTTGCAACTTGCTTTTTTCACCTGAGCGGTCTTTCATCATTTCTCATGAAAAAATGATTATGTAGTGGTGGTGCCCACACTTTCCAAACGCTCATCAGGGTGATGGTTGCAGAGACTGGATGGCTGGGGACAGGTTATCCCCCCATCAGGGCTGGACTGACAGGATTACCATTACAACCAGTAATAACCATTCTGCATGGACACTATTGAAATTCTCTTTAGCTTACTTTCTCAAGATAAAAATGTACCGGGACTTCCCTGGGGGTCCAGTGGTTAGGACTCTGCTCTTCCACTCCAGGGGGCCCGGGTTCAGTCTCTGGTCGGGGAATTAAGATCCCACATGCAGCGTGGTGTGGCCAAAATATGTGTGTGTGTGTGTGTGTGTATATGTGTGTGTGTGTGTTGTGTTGTGTGTGTATGCTGATGTTGTTTAGTCTCTAAGTCATGGCCAATTCTTTTGCAACCGCATGGACTGTACCCACCAGGTTCCTCTGTCCATTGGATTCCCCAGGCAAGAATACCTGAGTGGGTTGTCAATTCCTTCTCCAGAGGTTCTTCCCGACCAAGGGATCAAACCTGTGTCTCCTGCATTGGCAGGTGGATTCCTTACCACTGAGCCTCCAGGGAGGCCCAATATGATGTACACACACACACACACACACACACACACACGTGCGCGCGTGTGCACACAAATGAACATATGCTTAAAACCTTCTACCAGGACATATGGGTAAAAAGTGAGAAGTCTGTTTTTTCAGTCCGAGTGTCACTCTCTAGAAGCAACTACTGTTTTGCAATCTCCTGGTAGCGACCATTATGATTTTAAATATTTTACTTGGGGCTACCTTCTAACTTGATCTGTTTTGATGACGTGCCTGCTGACTTCCTGTCTGAGAGGCGATGACATCTGTCTCCCCCACCCACTGTGCTCCTTGGAGGCATGAGTGACAGGTCCATTTTACAGATGAAGTTACTGAGTCCCCAGCAAAGTTGTACATTCATTGATCCACGGTTAGGGAATGGGGAGCTGCCATCGACAGTCTCTTTGGCTGTCTGTCTACACAGCCTGATTTCCTTGCACCAGGATGTCTATCCAGGACTGGCTTCTCTCAATTGGGTGGTGACTGCTCCAAGTCACCTGAGCAGTGTCCAAGTCTTTATGAGTCCTTGCTTGACTAAGAGGCCGTGTTTAAATGCTTTCCCACAGGTCAACTTCTGGCATTCCGATCAGTGCAACATGATTAACGGAACTTCCGGGCAGATGTGGGCACCATTTATGACCCCTGAATCCTCGCTGGAATTCTACAGCCCCGAGGCCTGCCGGTAATCGCCCTGATGTGTGACATTCCGGGCCTCCTGGGAAGTCTGCTTTGTGGATGCTCAGAGCCGAACCAAGTGGCTTGTGGCGTGTGCTTGGGAAGCGCCTGGCTCTTCCGCATGTCCACGGGCCCCTGGCGCCATCTTGAATTCTCTTTGGTTGCATCCCTCCACTTTCCAGAGTACAGCCTCGGAGGTCAGCTAAACAATTCCAGTCGCCCCGGCAGAGTGGCGAGAAGAGACAGCGGCTCCTAGAGCCCTTCTCTGGGTGTTCCCCTGTCCTCGGCTCCTCTGTTGAGGCTACTCTGGAAGAATCCTTTGCTTTGGATTTATTTCACTGATGTGAACTCAAGAGACTCACCTGCCACCCTAGCAGATCTTGACATAGCCCTATCTGCGCGAGGCGCTGGGGTCCTGGCAGAGACAGGATGGCTGGGTCCTTGTTCCCTGGGGGTTGTGTCCTGGCGGGGGACTCAGGCCCATGGACCCGCAGGGGAGGGTCAGAGAGTGGAGGTGTTTTTATTCTGTGTGTGTTCACTTCCTGAAATTAGAAATTTCAACTTAGAGAAGCGTTCCCAGAAAGTGCAGTCTTCTCTGCGTTTGTTGTTGTTTAAGACGTCGCTAAGTTGTGTTTGATTCTTTCGTGACCCCAGGGACTGTAGCCTGCCAGGCTCCTCTGTCCTTGGGATTCTCCAGGCAAGAACACTGGAGTGGGTTGCCATTTCCTTCTCCAATACATGAAAGTGAAAGTGAAGTCACTCAGTCGTGTCCAACTCTTCGCGACCCCATGGATTGCAGCCTACCAGGCTCCTCTGTCCATGGGATTTTCCAGGCAAGAGTACTGATTGAGATGATGACATGGTTTTTATTCTTCAGTATGCTAATGTGGTGTATCATACTAATTTGCATATATTGAAGAATCCTTGCATCTCTGAGATAAATACGACTTGATCATGATGTATGATCCTTTTAATGTCCTGTTGAATTCAGTTTACTAGTATTTTGTTGAGAATTTTTTGCCTTTATATTCATCAGTGACATTGGCAGACACTCACGCTGAGGAGTCTGATGTGGGTCTCAGAACTCTCACTCCATCTCCCTGTGACTTCTTCCTTGTCTTTGAATGTAAAATATCATATTTGGTAGGTTCCAGTCTATCATTTGGTGTTTGTTCAGCTGTTAGTTGTAATTTTGTTATATTGGGCAGAGGAAGTGAACTCAAGTCCTTCTACTCTGCCATATTGTCTGGAATCAAGGGGTTGCTTTCTGTTCTGAAGTTTTTTAAAATTAATTTTTGCATGGTGTATATTGCTGCATCCTGTTACTTTTAACTTATTTGTATTTCTATCCTTAATATGGGCTTTATGCAGACTTCATATAGTATCCACACTGATGATATCTATCTTTTAATTGAAGTATTAGATCCCTGAAGTCTAATGTGATTTTTGATATGTTTAGTTTTAAATCTACCATCTTGGTGTATTATTTATTCTTTGGCTATTCTTTCTCTTTCCTTCGCTTCTTTTGCATCAATGTTATTTTTTATTGCATTTTATTTTCACTATTTGTTTATTAGCATATGTTGTTTTATGTTCTAGTTTTGTCTGTAGGTTTCACAGTATATACCTTTAGCTTATCACTATCACTTTAACTAGCATTGTATCGCTTTCCATCCAGTATTAAAAAACTTCTATTCCTATTCTCTCTGCCCTCATGCTAATACAGTCACACATTTTAGTTCTACATAAGATATAAACAAACTGTGGGAAATTCTTAAAGAGATGGGAATACCATACCACCTGACCTTCCTCCTAAGAAATCTGTATGCAGGTCAAGAAGAAACAGTTAGAACTAGATATGAAAGAACAGACTGGTTCCAAATAGGGAAAGGAGTACGTCAAGGCTGTATATTGTCACCCTGCTTATTTAACTTATATGCAGAGTATATCATGAGAAATGCTGGACTGGATGAAGCACAAGCTGGAATCAAGATTGCCAGGAGAAATA